AAATTTAATAATTATAATTAGTATATATTCAAATATTATATTTTAAAATCAAAGAACTACTAATCATGATATAATTAAAGAAATAAGAGTTGATGTTGCTTTTGGAATAATCCACCAATTGCCTAATTAAAACAAAAAAAAAAAAAGTTTGTTGGGAATTTTTTCTGCTATTCTGCAAAATTACTCCTTCGTTGACTAGAATGAATCATTAAATAGAAAATTTTATGAGAATTAAAACAATGTTATTTTTAAGATTAATATGCAGTCAGAAAGTTTTATAATTATTATTTATTGTAAATTTATCAGAAAAACTCATTATTTTTTGCATTTTTATCGTAATAGAACACTTAAATAGAAATCATAGTAATCATTTCTAAGTAATTTTTGATATTTAAAAAGATTCTACTATTGAAATATCCAGAACTGAATTAATTTTAATGATTTACTTTAACTAAAAAAAAAAAAGTTAATATTTTGAATCCCTCTTGTGGGCAGGTAAAGGGTTAGATTTATAAAAAAAACCAAATGATAGATAAAGACATGCATCTAAATAAAAAAAAATATACTGATTTGGTCATTTTTGATAAAGTTATAACAATTAACAAAGTTATAAGTTTTATACACTGGACTACAAGGAACTTCCATCAGAAACAAAAATATACTATTCTAAATCAACTTTTCGCGATGTTTTAAAATGTGCAATTAGACTTTTTCTATAACTTCTAAGTTTTAATATTATTAAAAAATAGTTTTTACATATAAAAAAAAATAATTAAGAACAAAAAAAATTGTTTTAAATTAATACTGATTTGATATAATATTTAATATTAATTTGATTATTAATAAGTTAAAAATAAGGAAAATGACATATTTAACCAATTTTGTTAATCGTTTAAAGTTGATTGTTGTAAATGTTTATAATAAAAAAAAAAAATTTATTTTACCATAACTTTTAGCTCAATTGGTAAGTTTGACATTGACATAATTAAATAGAAAATTTTATGACAATTAAAAAAATTGTATCGTTAAGATCAATATGCAGTCAGAAAGTTTTATAATTACTATTTATTGTAAATTTATCAGAAAAGCTCAATATTTTTTTGCATTTTTATGGTAATAGATAACTTAAATAGAAGTAATAGTAATAATTTCCTAGGAACTTTTGTTGTTTGTTGAAAAGATTCTATAATTGAAATATTGAGAACTTAATTAATTTTAATGATTTACTTTAACTAAATGTACCAATCAAAACAAAGTTGTTAAAAAGATTTACTCAATTGAGTTTATTATAAAATTTGATTATATTTGTAAAAATCAATTGTTAATTCAGGAGAAAAAACAATCATTTTTTTTAGAAATGATTTATATAGCAACACGTTAGAAAAAAATTTGAATATTATAGTCTAATAGTAGCACACACAAACAGAGTAATAAAATTATTAAATTACAAAGTAAAATGATTTAATTTTGTAGTTGAAACCTATCATATCAAACTTCATTCGTTAATAAATATTTTGAAAACATTAGAAATTAATGATTTTAATTGTCTTTATGGAGACGATGTAATAACTAACTGTTTAATTGATAAATTAGAATTTTTTTTTCAATTTTTGAGAGTAATATCTTCAACTAGATACGAATTGTAGTAATTTGACGTATTGTTGAAAAAAGTAGGTCAAGTTAGAGCAGAGAAAATAAATGATAGTCACAAAAAAATATCTTCTCGGCTTTGCATCGAAGCGAAAACTTAAAATATAGTAAAATAATTTTAATACGAATAAGAAATTTCTTCTTGCAAGGGGCGACTAAAGTGATGGGATCCTTGATCTTTATTGAAGTTATTGAATCTAAATGTGATAAAAATCAAACGAGTTAAAATTTATACTAACTTAAAAAGAATTAAGAAAAAATGCAAAAAATTCATTGCCATATGCGGGTTGGAACCTCGTACCCCAAGCGTGTAAAACATAAATTTTACCAACTCGGCAACCGTACGTTGCTTCCGGCGGTTGAAAAATTGGCTATTTAAGCTAGTTCAAATTTCAAAGTTATTTTTCTCGACTTAAAAGAAACAAACATATTTAAATAAGTTTAACTATCTATACTATATCAATTTTAATTTATATAATATTTATGAAAATCTGTACTCCCCTTGTCAGGTATTTTAAAATAAAATAAAATACAAAACCCAGAATTTTAACACAAAAATAGCATATTTTTGCATACGGTAGTCATTTTTACCATGAAGACAAATCCAGAGGTCAAATTTTTTTTTTTCACATTAAAGTATATTACATAAGCTTTAATTTAAGATATATTTAAAAGTGTCAGTATTTCCGGAATACTTTCAAAAATTAAATTGAAAATATCGTAGTAACAATACGCATGTTTAAAGTTTTGACCCCCCTTGTTAAAGGGGTATGATCCGATTTACAAAAAAAGCGTGCCAGATGAAAGGGGTATATAAATATTTATTATAAAAAAATAATAATATTGATCCATACATTTTTCCAAAAGTTATATAAAATATAAATTAAATAATATAACATATAAAATCGAGATTTTTTTCACGGAAATCGTACGTTTTTCTTTAACTTTGATGTCCGTTTTCACCACGAAGACAAGTCCAGAGGTCAAATTTTTTTTTTTCAAATTAAAGTATATTACATAAGCTTTAATTTAAGATATATTTAAAAGTGTCAGTATTTCCGGAATACTTTCAAAAATTAAATTGAAAATATCGTAGTAACAATACGCATGTTTAAAGTTTTGACCCCCCTTGTTAAAGGGGTATGATCCGATTTACAAAAAAAGCGTGTAGATGAAAGGAGTATATAAATATTTATTATAAAAAAATAATAATATTGATCCATACATTTTTCCAAAAGTTATATAAAATATAAATTAAATAATATAACATATAAAATCGAGATTTTTTTCACGGAAATCGTACGTTTTTCTTTAACTTTGATGTCCGTTTTCACCATGAAGACAAGTCCAGAGGTTAAATTAATTTTTTTCGAATTAAATTATATTACATATGCTTCAATTTAAGGTATATAAAAAAGTTTCAGTCTTTCCGGAACATTTTCAAAAGTTAAGTTGAAAAAGTTACCATTTTGAAACCCTATCTGTGGGTTGGTAAAGGATCAAATGTTCACAAAAATATATCAAATGATAGGTAAATATCTAAGATATCTATAAAAAAAAAAGTTATATTGATTCATTTTTAAAAAAGTTATGGCAATTTTAAGTAAAAAAATGTCGAAAATTAGGGATTTTTAAATTTGTAATTTTTTTGGGATTTCCACGTTTACGGGGAACGAGGAAATTTTTTCCAATTTTTGAGTGTTATGTCTTCGACTAGATACGAGTTGTGATTTTTTGATGTATTGTTATCAAAATCGGTCCAGCGATAGCTGAGATTGAGTGTTCACAGACACAAAAAAAATTAAATAAAAAAAAAAAAAACATATTGTAAAATTAATACCTTCTCAACTTTGCATCGAAGTTAAAAATGCCACTATTGGAGACTAGTCAAAATTAAATTTTTTTATTTTTTGATTAGCAACCAATTTATGTAGGTATTACCTATATAATGTATTTTTTTTCATACGTATGTCGTAAAATGATCAATTATTACGATTTTTCAAGAACTAAAAAAATAGTGCATTATATATAGTATTTGTATTCTCCAAAAAATATTCAGTTATAATTTATAATCTTGAATTTTTGAAACCGACACAAGTCGTTGATTAGAGTGCTGGTAGATAAGGCGAATGTACTGCCAACCTACCGCATTTATGTCACTGAGCAGATAAAATTTAAATTAGGTGCATGGCGCTAACAATAACTACGTTCTTACATTTCAAGTTCCTATGCGTTTGTAATTTTTAATGTACTTCTAATAAATTTTTTTATATATTGATAAAAATATTTAAATATAAAGTATTCAAAAAAGTCATTAATCATTTAAGTAAAATATACTCGATTATATTTACTATTCATAAATCTTTAGATATAAATACTTGAACAATAAAAAGATATCGTTTATCGCAAGCATTGAGTCATAGTTATTATTAATTTTTTATGGCAAAAAAGTCTAATTATCATATTTATTAATAAATATATTGTGTCAATATGTTATCAACAATTATTATGAATAGTAATACATTTACATAATTTTGTACAAGTATTTATTTAGTTCTGTCTTTAATATACTTTATTTTACTTTATAAGAGCAATCCATAATATGACCCAAAAAAATATATTTTTGAATTCGTAAAAAAAACCTTTTCTAATATAAACGTCTTAAATTTCTTTCTATGTTCAATTGTTTAATGAAATTCTCGAAGTTAATTACTTAAAATAACTATGCATGTTCGTGGAATTATTATTCTGATTTGTTATCATAAATTAATTACATTACGCCCCTATAAGTTTCACAAAAAACTGATTAATAAATACATTAATAGAAAAACGGTAATGTATTTAACTCTCTATACTTAATATAATGTCAAATCTATTATGCTGCCAATTGATGAGTTACCTATTAGAATTATAGATGGTCTATTGTATTATCATCCTTGCTTGTAACGAGTAATTTTACTCACTTTACATAATTCATGCTCACGGCTTAACTATATGGACCATTTTGTTCTTCACTTAATGCTTTTCAGATATTAAATAAGTTTACTTAAATTCTATTTAACAAGTAAACATTATTGACTAATATATTTTGAATAATTAGCAGGAAAAGTATAATAAATATTTGGCAAAAATAGTATTATTAAAGGGTTATTACGTTCTTAGGGAACGATTTATTCATTTTTCTTTAATGAATACCTTTTTTTACCAAAATTCCTTAGTACGCATTAATTTAAAAATAATTACTATCCAACAAAAAAAAATAAAAATAAAAAACTGGTGAATAAAAATTCATAAAAAATTATTTTTAATTTTGTTCCTGATGAGATAATTATACTAATTCGATCACTCTGTATAACATAACTAAGAACGTTTATTTTGTTTTAAATAGTTCATTACTTTTTTAATGATACCTTTAGCTAATAATTATTGAAGACACCTAATCAAAAATATCTACTGAGTTAGTTTGAGATTAAATAGTACGTAATTAAATGTTAGTCACTTAAGACTATAGATTTATGTATATCATTTATTTTAGTATACCTTGTAATCGACCGTTGAAAATGTATTACAATAGTTGGATAATTTAAATAATTACAGTTGAACTTGTATTTAAAGACAGCAACATACAAATATTTGTACAATAGTTAACAAAAAGTACTCCAATTGTAAATTTTAATAATTTTATAACTTTAAATTATACTGTTCGTTTTCCTATTTATTTTTTAAAAAATGATTGCTATTGAGAAGGATTCTTTATCTTTAATTAGATTAGTAAGTATAATTTTATATTTCATAAAAATATAATTTTATAATTTAAGATTAAAATCAATGTGTAAAAAAATTAAACTGATTACTCTATATTTTTATTAGGTATTAGCATTTAGTATTATGTACTTTCAAATAGTATTAAAAGGAGTCCAAACTGGGTTTTCTAGTGTTATGATATCTCAGCTTCGTGATGACAATTCGGACATCAAAATAAATTCTAATCAAATATCATGGATAGGTAAGCGTATTATTAAATTTAAAAACATACATTGCTTGCAACCAAATTTTGGTGATTTCGAATACTACACTTTTTTCAAGCAATTACTAATATTTTTTATTTTTTCGTAAATTTAATTCATTAAGATTGTTAAAATATTTTCAGTATGAAAAATTAAAATAAAGTGTCATTCCATTAGGTGAGTCTTGAGACCATAGATTAATTTTCTTTGAAGAAGACTTTTAAATACTTAGTTAAAATAAATTATGTTAAAAATTTTGGAATAATATTTTTTTAGGTTCAAATATTATTATATTATTGATTAATGGCACTAATCATTTGCAATTTTTATGTTTGATATGATGTTGTCTTTATTAAGGTAAAGATTTGCTTTTGATTCCTTATTAAGTTTTATAGTTGATTCAAAATTAAAATCAATTATTACTTTAACAAAACATTTATTAAGTATTAAATTCAATTGCCAAAAACTAGTTAGAGTGCCAATGAATCGTGACATTAACCTATTTATTATTTTACTTATTTACAAGTTTGCCACAAAAATGTTTAGCTTCTAGACAGAAGATGTTAGCTTTCTTTAAAAATTTTAGAAAAATTTGAATAATGTTATATAAAACTATTTTTAGAATTGGGAAAATTTTAATTTATTTCTAGCTCAAAATAAATCTTGTCCAAACTTTACATACGTTATAGAAACGACCTTAAAATGAAGGAAAGTGTTATAGAGGCTGTAATGCTAAGAACTCATTCATAGATACCATATTTTTATGTTGAAAAATTTTAATAAAAAATTGTTTATATATTTCTAATATTTTTAAACAATATTTTAACTCGCATTAAGTTTTTAAGACGCAGTTCTAGACTTAAAAAAAGGCCCCAACAAATTTTTTATTCTCAAAAAATATTTATTTCTGCATTTTTAGTATAATAATTTATGAATTAAAAATAATTATAAATTCTCATTTAATTTTCGACAGTTAATCCTGGAAAATACCATTAAAAATAGTTTTTTAATTAAGTTTTATAATTAAGAATTAAAAAAATTTATTCAGTACATTTTTGTAAAAAAATAAATATTTAATGGAAACTAGGATGTCATCCTTAAATAATCATCCGATATAACTGTTATAATGGGTAATAAATTAAGTAACTGCATTAGTTACGAATGCAGTTCCATAACTTCTAACGTCAGTAATGGTTATAGTATAAGCATTTCATAGTAACACTTATAAAATGAATCCGTAAAAATGTTTTTTCTGTACTTTTAGCAAGTTCTATTTTTTTGACATGTCCCATTGGTGCAATAATATCTGGATGGATTATGGATAGATATGGTCGTTTACGAAGTATGCAACTATCAATGATACCTTTAATTATATGTTTTATGTGGTTATGGCTGGCGAAGTCTATAACCGATTTATATATTGCGAGAATCACAGTTGGCTTAACATTAGGTGAAAGTTCATAGTTAATATTATTATTTACTTGTTATTTAGAGGTTATAGTCTAAATTATCTTGATAAAATTTACAACTAAAAAAATGTATGAATTGTCAAATTCGGGGGTCAACTACAATTTTTTTATAGGAAGGGGGATATTGTATACAATTTTTCCGACATATTTCTAATAAAAAAATTTTAATCAGAAAAGGATTATTTAAATGTATTGACTACAACAAAAATTGAAAAAAATTGTAGATTATATAGTCGGCAATTTTATAATAAATTAAAAAATTGTTTAAAACCCGGCACTTGTCGAAATATCTCAATTATTATTTTTTATTCCTAGTTTAATAAATTATTTCCACAACTTATAAAACGCTAATCAGGATATATTCCATTTTTTTAATAAATTAAGTATACCAAAATTAAAAATTTGAGAAAGGGGAAAGTTTAATTTTTGGCGGTTAAACATTTTTTGAAATTGTGTAATCTTTTTTTGGTAGAAAAAAGATATACTCTTACATTAAAAAATTGCCAAATAAAACGATTAAATTTCACCACGATGGTGTGACACCACGCCTAACGGGGCTGCCCTTAAAGTGTTTTGATTTGACACTAGATTGTATCCATAGATCTTATAAAGTCTATAATTGAATCAAATATGCATTCTCAGCTACAACTAATTTCCACCTTATTTTTCTATATAAATGTAGTGTAGTTCATTTAACTAGTATAAAATTTTGAAAGCGACATTAATTATTTTAAACAATTTAAAGAGTGTCAATTCTAAATACAAGTTCCCTATTTTTTATCCAAGTTAAGTTAATTTTTATAGAAAATTTAGTTAAACTAATTGTTTTATTGTATTATCTACAGGATCGGGTGCTAGTGCAATTTGTTTATATATTTGTGAAACGTGTACACCATCAAGCCGTTCTTTTTTCTTATCTCTATTCAACATTAATCAAGCGTTAGGGATGATTTTGTCGACAGCACTAATGGGTTGGATGACATGGCGTTCCACGGCTGAGGTGTTTTTTATCGTTACCGTAGTATTGACCGTGTTACTTTTTTTGGTACCCGAGTCGCCAGGATGGTTGTTAAACAAAGGCCGACAAGAGGAATCCGCCAAAATATGTAAGTGGTACGGAGTTCCTACTCCAGATATATCTTCAATGTCAACAGCAGAGAATAAACCACATAGAATTAGTCTAAAAACGTTGACAAGACCTGAGGTGTGGAAACCAGCTACACTTTCTGTGACGTTTTTCTTTTTGCAAAGCGCTACAGGGTTCTCTTCATCTGTCATTTACCTCGTAGACTATACCCACAGATGTAAAATTCCGTTTGATTCTGTTAATGCAGCTATTGTGTTGTCTGTAGTTCGTCTTATCGGATCATCCATTAACTCATTTATACTTTTTAACTTAAAAAAAAAGACGCTAATTTGTATTTCAGCTCTGGGGATGGTCGTATCTACTGCTACTATAGCGACAATGCTGAGAATTTATGAAGATCCTTTACAATCGCCTTTTCCTTGGCTCACATTTGCATGTCTCTGTGTGTACGTTTTGTCAGCTATGTTGGGTGTTTCGCCACTACCTTTCACGTTTAGTTCTGAGGTATTTCCTACGTCAGTTGGTGGAGTTATGATGGGCATAACTAATTCGATTGCTTTTGGTTTTATGTTCCTAGCCTCAAATTCATTTCTTATGATTGTTGACGCTATTGGTATGGAAATGTATTTATGGTTATGCATGGGATTTAGTGTCGCCCTTGTTTTATTCGGTTGGTTTTTATTGCCTGAAACTAAAAACAAAACCAAAGACGAAATCACTGAATATTTTATTAAAAAAAAAAACAATAACATTAGAGACGCTTGAAAACATGACAAAGTAATTTGAGTAAAATGATAAAAGTAGTGATAAATTAACTGTCACTCGTTATGAAGGTACAAAGTAAATTACGAGTGTTATGCACTTCCTTTTGGGAAAATAGATTTTCAAAAATATTTCCTTGAGTGAAAACCGTTTCTTACAGACCATAAAGATTTACGAAACAAGTTTCTGTGCAATACACTTAATATACTTAAGGTAAAAAAAAAAACAAGTGAAGTACTGATATTTAAATTTAAAACGAAAGTTTTAAACATAACTCAAAATAAATTAAGTTTTAACTAGTTACCTTATGAGAATATATACTAATTGAACGTGAAAGTTACTTATGAGAATAAATAGTGTTCGTAATTTATTTATAACTATAATACCTTCATAATTTAAAAATACTACAGTAATATTAAATATTATACATAATAAATGACTGGCCGATAGCTAATTTAAAATCATTATTTTAAAAGATTTTATTTTATAATCTTAATATCTCTAAAAATATTGATTAAAAATTGTTATTAACTATATGATTTTCTTGATGTAAGCAAGAAAAATTGCTATTTAAAAACTTAAATTAATATTCTTAAAACGGGTAGAAATAATTATTTTCTTGAATTAGTAGTATGTAAATTTTGTTTTTGAAAAAAATTTGAGACATTATTATGTGTTTTTGAAGATATTGCGCGAAGCATGATAAATCAACCAGTTCGCATGTTGACTTTTTGAACCCATTGAAAACGTTTTTTTAATTGTATTGTTTAATGAATGTTTTATTAGCATTGTTTATATTATAATATTGTATGGAAAGTTAAAATTTAGCAATTTGCGTTCCTTGTACATTTTTGATAGTTATTGATTTATATTCGACACCAATCCAACTATAGTTAATTACTGTTACGCATAATTAGATATTAATTTAAAAAAAAAACATATTTCAATTAAGAGAATAAATAAATGAAAAATAACTTAGACCTTATTAAAAGTTAAAATTTATTTATTAGCATTTTTACTGTCACAATTCTATCACTCGATAACCACAAACATGCAAGCTTAAAAACACATAAAGATAATCATCAAAAAGTAATAATTTATTATTTCCATTTTTCACATTCATAAACTAGATTTAAAAGTAAATATTTTCAAATTTTATTGGAATAATTAATATATATAGCTTTAAAAGCCAATTAAATTTGTTTAACATTTAAAATTTCTATTATATTTTGAAGAATTTAATTAATAAGTAAAAAATAAATGCATATATTTTTTTCATAATATTTTAACAATATTTATTTAAAATAAATAATAAATAACTCTACATTTGGAATGTTATTAAGAGTGTATCCTAAGGATGTTTTACATTTATAAAAATCCAAAATACATTATTAGTTTTAATGAAATAAATGGAGAATTAAAAGCATATTAAAACAATTTTTTTTAGAATGTTCTATAGTTAAATAGGAGTATTTAATTTATGTTACTGTTTACATTTGATTCACATTACATACTTAATCAACAGAAAAATAATATACATTTAAACTAAATAAATAAAAATTAATCACATTTTGTATAATTAACAAGTTTTTTAAAACTTAACATGGCAAGATGGAATACAATATTTTAAAATCACAATATGTTTGGTTAATTTTTATTAAATAATCTACAATAATAATAAATCATTGGTAACTAGGTAATTTATTAATCACTTTTCTTGCCATCTTTTTTAGGATATTTATAAATTAAAACTAATTGAACTGCACATAATATTAGAGCCACACCATTTTGAACCTAAGAAAAAAAAATTAAATGTTTAATTTAACATTTATTTTAACAATTTTTTTTCAAAAAGTAAGTAACATTAAGTCTAACTTTTATAAATATGTTGTCAATCAAAAGTCCATATATAAGCCACAAACATGCAACAACACTACCAGATGATATCATTGGGAATGGTAACATTGATGAATCTTGTTTTTTAATGATTTCATTCTGAAACCAGAAAAATTAATTTAAAAAATAATAATTAAATAGACTAAAATATAACTTACTAGGGAAAATAAAGGTGATCCAATAAGTATAAGCATTAATACAGTTAAAATTACGCCAAAGCGATACTCTACTAGTTTTTCATCTTCTAACATTGTATACCACCATAATATAGCAGTGAAAAGAGATACCTTTTTTAACATAGACATTGCTGGACCCTAAATAAAGGTTACTCTATAAAAACCCTAAATATATTAATAAATAAGAAGTAATTGTCACAATTCAACTTGGGAATACAATCTTTTAACATATGAAGCATTTATAACAAACTCAAGTTAAGTTTAGCAAAAATTTTTTATTAAGTACTTTGTCTAAAACAAAACGTATTACACAAAACTAAAATTTTAATTTACTTACTTAAAATCAATGACTATTCATAATATTTTATATATTTGAAATAAAATCATTGTTGACTATTTGTATAATTTAAATTGTGTGATCAGATATTGTGAACATTTATTTCTAATTTCATAAAGAATTAATAAGAATTTTTGGTAGTGTAAAATATTTAATATGGTAAATTAAACAAAATTTATTAAGTTTAATTCTACATTTTCTACAATAATCAACTTATTGACTTATGTAAAATTTAAATAATTTGATTAAATTACCATATTAGCTGTATATAAATAGTACACCAAAAAATAAATTAAATTCAAAACCAAACCAAAAATGTTAACAGGAATAATGTTTGGATCATTCATGAGAATTCCATTTTTGATCATTAAAATTGATCTAAAAATTAAATGTTTTTACAATGAATAATACATTTTGTAAAAATATAAATGTAACTCACATTGCCATACCACCAATAAATGGGGTAGGATCTACATTAACAGTACTTTTCTTTTTTATGATATCCCAGCATATAACACTATAAATAAAAGGAACTATTAGATTTCAAATTTATTTATACATAAAATATTTTTTTCTAAACACAATTTAAACATTTAAACAATAGTAAAAGGTAGGAACACTAATAAAGAAAGTAGTATTTTAGCTGATGCTAATTAATAAAATAACATAAAAATGATAAAGTTTATCGCAGTGACTTGCATTCTTATAAATTAAAATAGATAATTAATTTAAGAAGTGTAACTGTCAAAGAAAATACTTCAAATTTCAAAAAGATCATAACCTGAAAAATCATGAGACAGAGCCATTTCTATAATAAAATGAAAACAAAAAAAAATAAGTATCCAAAATATCCTTATAAGATGACTAATTAAAGGTACATATATAAGAAAAGAATTTATATAAATTTGTTTGTCATATTTAAATAGAATTCAAGTGAAAGAAATTGTAAACTGTAGCATGTTTATATAATGAGCTACTAGGAGCAGCTGCTCTTAAGTGCAGCTAAATAGGCGCTTCTGTGTCTTGTAGGAGGGTCATTGCCAATATACTCGATCAAACTCTGATATGTATGTAATGTATATATAATTTATATTATTGTGTTAATGTAAAGAAATTTTTTCAGAGTTAATTCAATAAAAAAATTTTTTTGCTCAAAAAAATATTTGGGGAAATCAAATTTTTAATTCTTAATTTTTTAAATTTAAATTATTTTACAGGGAAACAAACCTTCTAAAATGAAAAATAACTATATTTTCAGGTATAATACAATCATTTTTTTAAGTCAATATAAATTTAAGCTAGTTGGAGATGTTTTTTTTTTAAATACATAATTCATTAACTGTACATGGTTGATCAATTAACTTTAACTTGTTTAGTTTTAATGCAACATTTTTATTTCGTGTAATATACTGAACCTGATGTATAATTACCCATAAAATCAATTACTAATCTAATCATATCTTGGAAAAGAAATTTAATCTCTGCAACCAGACCATCACTGACCAGGTGTCGCAAAGTGTTCAAAGAACAATTGCAGTAAAACTAAATAGGTAACTATTTAATGTAAATGTCTTATTTTTAATTATTTTTTAAAATCTTAACACAATGAGCATAAAGAAGTGTTAATATAATTAATTTTATTTGTAGTAAAATTCTAGAGGTAGCCAATTTTTTTTTATTATATATAGGTTGATATAGGTCTCTTTATTGTTAACAGAAGAGTACATAGATTTGTTGTGTCTTATTAATATAAATCAATCTTTTTTAAGTATTCATTAATCATCATTAAGGACTGGATTTATATTCTCTTAAAATACTTTGAATATTATGCTAATATTTTTTAAAAACATTGAAGATTCAATCTATTCTTTTACTTGATTAATAAAAAATAATTTAAAAATATGCCAAAAATAGTCAATGTATGCCTTAATATATAATTTCTCCATTTTATGACAAATATATAAATTATAAATCAACACATAATCATAACATAATATTTGTTAAAATGTTTTTTTATAAATGATATATTTTTATATTATCACTCAATTTAAATTCAAATTACTGTAATAAGTTTACTGTTAAAATAAATATAAACTTACACTGGGGCAAAAAAAGTTCCAACAGTTGCTACAGCAGCAACTTTACCAATAATATCTGCAAGGCCATCGCCACTCATTTTGAAGAATTTTTATTAAACTTTTATAAGTCAGAATAGTATGAATAATTATTATTAAGGTATTCTTTTGAAATTTAATCAGAATTTAAAAAACAAAAACTATGTTTACAATGTAATTTAATGAAACAAAACTCACAAGAAAATATAAGATTAATTTGATATAGCAAAATTATTAAATTTTTTGAGATAACATGAATGAAATATTAACCTATAAATGGCAACACTTCAATAATACCAATTAGCCTTCGACAAACATAATAGTTTCGTAAATTGGAGCCAATCTAAACAAATTATTTTTTTACATGTTCATGTTTATAAATTGAATGGCTGGTACACAATATGATTACAGTTCACCTATAATTATGAGTTACAACATATAGTGATATCAAAGGTTAAGAATTACTGAAAACACAGATAATAAGATGTCATATTCTTACACGATATTATAATAAATTTGATTAATTATTACGTCTGATTTTAGAACACCCAATTCGATAATGTGTTTTATTTTTTAATATATATACGGACTTGTTTTATTTTTTAAGATATATGGGCTTTAATGTAGTAAAACGAGGTATCTATACAATGGGTTCGCCAGAATCATAATTGCCAAACAAAAGGCTAAATTTTTTTTTAAGACCGTCACTTTAAATATAAATTAGGTAATAATAAATAATTAAAAATTTCTGTCGGCAAATTTTAGTTTATTTGTAGACAATTTCATATTTTCTGCTCACTATATAATAACTCAGATTACATAACTGTCATCATAAAGTTATGTACACATAATATCACTCAGTAGGTCTGTCATTAATGGATACTGGATTAATTCGCCTTTCACTTAAAGTGATATCAATAAAAAAAATTTAAAAAGGAGAATATGTATTAATAATCTCAAAAGTCAAGGGAGTTTTTTAATTAGGCGGACGTTAATGAATCGTTAATATTACGACATTAATATGCTTTTGACTAAAATGTTCTAGTCAGATTATTAAGAAAGTGCATTATTAAATTTAATGAATACTTTAATCAATTCCTCATACCCATTTGAAGATTTTAACTAATTTCTCTTTGTTTTTTACTAAGTAGACTATTAAAAAAATTAAAAAATTGCTAATTTATAGTATAATTTTAATTCTGTTAAATTAAAAATTCATTTATCAGTATTAGCATAAGGAAAGTAAAAACGTATTTAAATTATAAAAAATTTTAAGACCAATATTTCTGAGATATTATTTTTGCATATAATCCACAGAATTCAAAAACTCTCACTCGAAATATGTTTAAATCTCAATCAATTTCAGCTATTAGTAAGTAAATAATTTCTACTTTTATATCATCGATTTATTACATTTATATTCTTTTAAAGTTCAAACAAAATAAATTGCAGGTCCCATAATAAATTTCGTTGATTATGTATGAATTACGTAGCATTATATAACTTAAATTTTTTTTCTATGAAAGGTGGAAGGTTTGAAGGAGAAACTTTAGTATGTAATCAATAATTCGCGCTTTAAATTTAAGTGGGCCGTTTCTTGAAAAATCGTTTTGAGATAAACGTTTTATAGTTCAACCATCCGTAAGAAATATATTTTGTTATTTCATTTTTAGTATTTATATTAACTTCAAGTCAACTTTTATTCAAGTTTCTTACATAGTTACAAAGAGAGTAATATACTATTGAATTATACAAAAACGTCATATATCACAAATTTCGATATATTTGTGCTTATAGTGCGAATTAATAAGTTTTTTTGGCTTCTACCTCTAAGATAAATAAAAACTCAAGGTTTAGAAATATCAATGTTAAAAATTTCGCAATTCAAAAAAATTAAAATTTGAGTAAAATTCAGATTTCCTCTTTTTGAAAATATTTTTACCTTTTATTTTACCCCTTATAAATAAGGGGTCCAGTCCTCTTTTTTTTAATTTATTAGGTAAAATAAAAAAGTAATTAAAATTGAGTTATGGGATTAAATTTAATAGTATTGCGTGGAGAGGGTAAAACTTACTTTTAGACCTACACCTCAACTTTTGATTGTAATGCCAATACCATTTTCTTAAAGCATAATATACTTTTGTGAATTAGTCATTCAGTTGATGAAATTAAATCTGTTATTTATCTGGTAGGACATGTTATAAGGAGAGAGAAATAGAAAGCCCCAAGAACAATTATGGAAAAGAATATTGAAGAAAGAAGAGGAAGACCAAAAACGAGAGGGAGGGATGTTATTGAATGTGATATTATGTAGGAGACTGTATCAAGTGTGGGTATCAAAAGGGTGCCCAACCTCAAGTAGTTGTGATAAAGCCGAGGAAAAAGATTTCCTTCCCTTTTAGTAAATTATTCCATGTGTAACAGTATTTTTTGTAATAAAAATAAATGTTCTATGCAGAATATTAGCTTTTATTAGTTGTAGTTTTTAAAAATTTTATCGTAAAGACTTTTGTTTTAATTAGAATAAAAGTTCATTTACTTTATTAATCTTGTCAAAAATAAATTATGTCTTAAGCTAAGCATTCAAACATTTTATGCTATATAATTTTTTTGAAAAACTATTTTAATTTGCAAAAATTACAAAGTATCAAAAATGGAAAATATTTAAATGTTTTATTTAAAAAAAAATTAATTAATAAATTTTTGTACTTTTAACTGATTTTCCAGGCCTTCCATCATTGTTCATTCTGAAAACTCCAAATCTCATCTTTGAATGATAAGGTTTTAAGAGCTTTTAATGTGATTTCTTTACAATCAGTCTTAAAAATTATTGATTTTTTTTATACTTAAAATGAAGAAATATGTGATATTAAAAAGGCCATAGAAATATAATAATGAAAACTTAAAAAAGTCATAGAAATTCATAAAATTTAAAAACCCCTAGCAATGCATATAATTAAAAAAAACAAAAGAATCAATAAACAAAAATATTATCTGATAAGATGCTTAACATTATTAAAATTAAAACTTTACATACTCATTTTAACATATTAACAGAACCTAAGAGTTTTACTAAAGTTTTTGTATGTTTCTTTTATAAACCTAAGAAGTACTACATTTTATGTTTTGAACACTTTGAAATATATCAAAATATAAAAATAATAATTTTGTTTCAATTCTAATCCATTTTAAAAAGAAAAGAAAGATCTATTTATTTTAAACTTTTTTATTCCAATCTAATGCAACAATTTAATTTTGTTTTAATTTAAAGGTAGTACCTTTTGTTAAGTTCAATAACGAGAAACTTTACAAAGTTATTTCTAATAAATGTTAAAGGAATGTGTTAAATCTCGTTTAGATTTTTTTTCACCATACATTCACATAAATTCACACTAGAAAATTTTGTGTGTAGGAGCTGTTATCACAAATACCATTTCATAAATTTGGACAAAAAAACTGATGAAAAACTACATTATTGTTAAAGAAAATTTCGAATAATTTTTTTAATTATCATTAAACAATAAATTATATTTATAAGTCAAAAATATTATAGTTCTTATATAAAATTAACTGATACAACACATTCAATTATTACATTAGTTAAAATGTGTATAAAATAGACTAAACAAGTTTAACCAAATCGCAAAGGTCATTATATCTTACTTCGCGAAGAGTTTCTACTTCAATATCATCATCTTCCATTCTGAATTTAGGATTAAGTGTCATAAATTCTTTGATACCAGCTTTATGTATAAGTAGTACAGATAATATTAATATTAATTCTATAAAACATAATTAATTACATAAAATTTAACTTACATAACACTTGAATTTTTAAAGTATCACCATCAATATTTACTAAACGTGATGTTATAAGAGAAGACATTTCAGGTTCACAATGTTCATTTAGGCTAAGTGTCTAAATTTAATAAATTCTTTTCTTATTACTACATTTGAAACTCAACACCAAAAAGAAGACCTCAAGGCAAAAATAAAATATTCTTGGTAGGCTCAAAATTAAATAGAAAGATAGAATTATCTTTTCAATTAAGAAAATAAAATTATTTGTTGGGTTTAATATATTTAGAGAATGTAGAATAAAAAAATATGTCAATCAATTGCTTGAATATAAGATCACAATAAACTTTCAAAACTTTGTAAAACTGAGATTACGTTATACATTATTTGAAAAAATAATTTAGTCATGATGAAAAAATAATTTAAATTATAAACGACTATAATGTAATATAATAAAGTTGTTTTATGATTTAGATTGTATCACTTATTCAGAAATATAATTATTCAAATCATTTATAGCCTAACACATTTTTACAAATTTGACTTAGAAATTTTTCCCAAGCACCGTTATTATATCATAATTTTATCAATTTTAGATAAGAGGAGCTTAGGAGGATTTTTGAGATGCTATACATTTCCAGAATTTATATATATTTTTTTTAATTATAAACAATTTTTTTTATTTAAAGATATTTTACAATTTAATAATACAAAGATGCTTAAAATATTAAGATTCTCTTAATTAAAATTAGATATTTAGAAATTTGTTAAAAAAACTTTTCAACTTGAGGGTCTTTTATAGGTGTTATATCATATAATATATATATATATATATATATATATATATATATATGTATAATAATACATCATAATTACTTTAAACTGCAGTAAATCATAAATTTTCAATTCAGTTAAATCTTTTATTTTAACAGGTGACATATTTTTCCAATCTACAACAAGCATATCACAATCATCATTATAATTTGGAGTTTTGTTCTCAAAATTATTTTCAACCACAGAGTTATTTTGAGAATAATTATTGGAAGCTTTATGCGTTTGACCTCGTATGAATATTGGTACGGACTTGTTATTTGAAGGTATAGTTTTAAATTGATATTGTTTCCATTCTAAATATTATTGATAATATTAAATCACTTTTACTACAAATATTTTAATGTAATTTAAAATCAGATAAAAAATTTAGTTTTTTTTTTAAATCTAATGTACCTGTTTTAGGTTTACTAACAACCGTATTTTCTTCAATGTCTAAATAAGATGAATTACAACTGTAAACTTCTCTAGTAATATGGAAGGTTTCTTCAATAGATGATATGGATTCAGAACCATTAAAAGTTTTTCCATTTTCCTCTTCTTCCATTTTAAAACGTTTATGATTTTTTTTTTCATTGTTCAAAGTTAATTGAGAAACTGTATCATAAACACCATTATAATTATTCTAAAAAATAAAAATCATATTACTATTCACTTATTTTTTAAAATGAATAACTATAGTTTAATTACCATTGAAATATTATCATCATGTTGTATTTTTTTTTTTTTATGATTCCTTACTCGTTTTCTTTTTTTTACTTGTGACGTTGTGTTGGATGTTATAGAACTAATGGAAGCAGTACTATCAATTCTGTTTACAGGAACAAATTCTAAATTTTCAATTGATAGCCTATTACTTGATGAATTTTTACAAATGGTGTTGTCATCTGGAATGAAGTGATCTTGCAATTGATGAGATAATGATTCTTGTTTAGAATTTTCATTATCTTTAAATATCACACTGGAAGAAAACAAATAGATTTATTAAATAATCTTTTAGTAATAATTGAAACTTTAAGTGGTAAATATTTTTCAAAAATGCACTTGTGTAATAAAAAATTAGTATATCCAATGAATAGTTGATTTAAAATTATAAAATGAGGAAAACAGCTAAATTAATTAACCAAAAGTTTATGTTGAATTAAAATAAAGTTTTAAAAACAGTAACAAGTCTTTTGAAAACTTTTTAACAATTTTAAGTGAGATTACAATACCTGATGACTTTTAGTTCATTAAATTATAAAAAAAAATATTAAATATAAATTTGTAGTTAAAAAAATCTAAAATAAAAAAACAGAAATAAAACACTAATTTTACATAATAACTATACAAACGTTATTTCTTCGCCGTCATTAATGGCATTAATTTCATCTTCATCTAGGAATGGAATATTGTCAAAACACACATCAATATTTCGCTCTTCTTTTAAAACATCTTGAATTTTTAGTTTTAAATGTTTTATAAGTGATATTTTTGAAGTGTCTACGTATAACCAACATAGATCGGCATTTTTACTGAATGTTAAATACTGTCGATTTATTTTTATACGCATTTTAAAATGACTGTAAGCAATCGCTTATTGTAACAATTAAAAAAATCTACTTTTACGTCAAAAATCAAATAAAATTTTAAAACTAAAACAATAATTACAAAAAATCTATTATTAATTTAATAATGTTTACTATGCTTTGAAATACTCAGAAGTTAAAAATTTAAAATTCATTTCTCAATTTATCAAACCGGTTAATTTATTTGTTATCAAGTATATGGTTGGATTTTTAATACAAGTATATTATCCATAGGCATAGTATTACTACATTAATTCAAGTGTCTGGCATGTGCGTTTTATCAATTCTCATTATTATCATACCCAAGGTGAATTTATAAATTAAATAATCAATGAATTTACCCTGAGATATGGTTATTAGTGGGAAAGCACCTTTGCCACGAACTGATAATGCTCCGACATTTACATACTTCGACATTTGACAAAGTAGTAATTGTTACGAACATCTGGTACTCCGATCTGATACCATAGGTTACCAAAATTACGACGTATTTTACTCCGACATTAAATTAAAAAAATTAAATATAGTTTAAAAAAACTAAAAAACACGCTTTTAAAGCACATCGAACTAAAAAGTTAAAAATAATTTTTAGATTTTAATTTATTGTATATTTGTCGCATTTATGGCTTTTTTTTCGAAAATAAGCGATCCTCGATTTGGAGGAACGTACATGACGCTATTAAATACTGTTACAAATTTGGGTAGTTCTTGGACAACCACAGCATCTCTTAGTATGGTCGATTGGCTTACTTTTAAAAATTGTTCGAATGATTTAAAAAACAATTGTTCGACGGAAGATCTCATTAAGGTTAAATACTTAAATACATCATAAAATAAGCGTTTAAATTGATAATTTAAATTTTTTTGGAATATTTAGAGATATATTTATGTCTTCAGTTTTATGCTGATGTTTCGAACTCATTGCAGAGTTTATCTTTGGAACGATAGTTACAGGTTTAAGATGGTAACTATACCAGTATAGTTACAACATCAAACTGAAGACATAGATAGATTTATAAATATTCCAAATAATACAACAATCTATGAAATAATTACACATTCATCACTGAAATTTTTTCAGGCTTGTAAAACTTGTGGAGGTAGTTGTTCTATTAAAATTGATGGTTTCTATATTGAAGTAATGGTTTGTTTAGTTTTGGGAATTATATGGTATGTGTTTTATAATAAGAAACTACGAAATTTGCAAACAAAAGGACACAACTACTGGTCGGTAACTACGGAAGATTTTCATTTAGACAAACTAATTATCTTAACAGAAGATTTAAGTAAGTTTATGATTAATCATAAACTATTGTCCACTGTTAACTTATAACTGTCTTGTGTTTACTTAATTTGACTAGGAGTATTGCAACAAAATATTGAGGAACTCTAATTACATAATTTTTTACCTAATCTAAAAAATATTTCTATACAACCAGAAATACAAATTAATTCATTTTCGGTATATTCTATGGCAGAATTTTAGGAGACAAAGCCCCCTCAAGTCTCTCCAGATTGCGGTCAAATCTAAACTGGACTGAATTAATTTCGTTGGCCACCTTCGAACAATGAAATGATATTAAATCATATTTTTGTTTGATTTCATATGAGACTAATTGTAATGACAGTTTTAGAGAATAGGATACCGAATATCTTTATAAACACATCTGTTTAATGACGAATCCTATCATCAGTGAAACGTACCCCTTTATTTTTGAACTAAACTAATTAAATGTTATAATATTAATGTGCTTATAATGTTATAATAAGCACTAATAAGGAGAGGTAAAAAAGATTTTACGTCTGAAAATTGGAATCGCTCTTCTTTCCCCTCCAAAAAAAAAAATTGAAGGGCTCACACCAGTTATGTAACGAGTTGTTTTAGTTCAAAGCCCCCTTTCTTACCTTAATGTAACTATTTTATCAAAATTCGGATACATTTCGGGGATCTTTATTGTAATAATTATACGTTAATAGACAGTAATCAATTATAACGCTATTTTATTATATTAATTAGTGATTAATTTTTCCATCAGTTATTATATTGCTACGATATTCATCTACTCCGAAATTTAATAATTTTTTAATCGATTTCGCGAATAATCGATATTCGGAGCAATCAATTAATAGTCCTATTCGGAGTATTCATCGTCGTAGTAAAATCCAAATTTTTGTAACCAGGTATTCGTAGTAATTGTTGTCGGAGTAAATGTATTCGGAGGATTTTTTTACAGTGTCGGAGTAAATGAATGTCGGGGCATCATCAGTTCGTGGCAATCTCCGTAACCCGTTATTAGTAGTGATGGGCATTTTCGAATATTTTAAACTATCGAATAGTTTATTTTTAGCATAAACTATCGAATAGTTTTAAAAAGTATTCGAATAAATTATTGAATAGTTTTAAAAACTTTTCAAATAGGCTAACGAATGGTTTTAAAAAATATTCGATTAGTTCTATCTAAAATGTTTATTAAGTACACATAATTATAATAAGAAGATAATTAACGAATACTTAAAATAAATTATTATACAATTAATAATAGTAAAAAATAGTGATCCTATTAATAAGGATATTAATAACTAGCGTTATCGCATATTCCGTCATCTATGAAATTGAGACTAGACTGTCATAACACATTCACCTCATCCCACGCCTCGCTCACTACGACGACAACACTATTCCTGTATAAATTTATTTTTGGTTATCGTTCTCGTACACACATTACAAAAGAGTACGACATAAAAATTAAGATATCTCGGCACCAGGTTTATATTTGGAATTGCGTTAAAAACAGAATGTATTAGCCATGTTTTCATTATATTGCAACAAGAGTTATCATGTCTATTTTGTATTTTTGTGATGTTTTTAAAAGCTATCAATATAAAAATATCCAACTAAATAAAAAATCATCCCTACTTTAAAATCGTTATTCATATTTCAATACAGCTCTGAAGACTTAGTTAGTTCCCCTTTTTCGTGATTTGACTATTTAATATGTTTATTTGTACTATTATTAATATAATTATAATTATAATAATGAGTACATTATGAAGAAATAAGTGTGTTTTTGAATTGCAGTAATAAAACCCAAATCTCAGAGTCCACAGTTTCATAACATTTCCACAACTGTTCTTACATCTTTCAATTCCTCTCTCCTTATAATATGACCAAACCATCTAAGTCTACTTTCTCTTATCTTATCCACGATAGCCGCTACACTTATACTTCCTCTTATATGTTTTTTTCTTATCCGAATCTTATAAACTCCTCTTATAAACCCCCTCTAGGGTTAATAAAAAAGGTATTTCAACTGGGGGAATCTATTCCACTTTAGTTCTTTCCCGTTTAGCATAGGGGCCTTGCAATTATGATTTGCTCGAGTCCTGTAAAACCATAGGGAATTAGCCCTATGCACAGAGTCTATAGTACCTAATGAATAATACGGTATAGAGTGTTGATGGTAATTACATTTTTTTTTATTTTAAAGTAACCGCAGCGTCTTAGGCCGTTAATTTGTATTTATTTTTGTTATTATCTTTACATTAATTTTTAATTATTTATAGTTTACTAACGATAGTTATATTTTTACCGATTGTTTTATTTATATTATATAATATTTTTGTTTTAACAGTCATAAATTATGACTCATTATTATTAACTTAAAAGTGCAAAAACTAGAATTAGGTTTTTAGGAGTATAATCTGATATTACATTTTTATCTATTTAAATACTTTAATACCCATTAATTTTTTATCTTTATTTAGCTCGTAGTACTTTTTTAAACATTTAACTAATATGTACATACCATTCACATAAGTGATATACGTAGATATATGTCGTAATAATTAAATTTTAATAGTAATTGAACTATCTAGTTATTTAATATATAATTAAAATATGGATAATATATGTATATGTAGTTATAAATTTACATAATGTCTATTAGGGATAATAAATGTTAATTATGCAATTAAAATTGTTCATTTATAGTAATATGAATTCATAATATTACATAGTATAGCAATTGACATTATGTATTTATGCACAGAAGAAAATGTATAAAAAAATGTTTACATTTTTTATTATTACAATGATTTTTTTATAGAACCATGTACAAGTTTGAATGTTTTTTAAGGCTTAGATGTTCAACCATTGATCTATTTAATGAATTATAAATGAATTTCGATTTCATTGCATATAAAAATAAATAAATAATAATAGATATTAGATTATAATTAAATCTAACAGAAAGAATCATCTTAACAAATATTATTAAAAAAAAAACACAACTATTTGTTTTGTTTATAAAAATAAAATACAATTTTTTTCTTTAACTAAAATTACTAATAATATATATATATATATATATATCATTTTATAGTGCTTGATTGTAATTTTTAGAAATTGTCTAATTGAAAATCTTCCGTAGTTACCGACCAGTAGTTGTGTCCTTTTGTTTGCAAATTTCGTAGTTTCTTATTATAAAACACATACCATATAATTCCCAAAACTAAACAAACCATTACTTCAATATAGAAACCATCAATTTTAATAGAACAACTACCTCCACAAGTTTTACAAGCCTGAAAAAATTTCAGTGATGAATGTGTAATTATTTCATAGATTGTTGTATTATTTGGAATATTTATAAATCTATCTATGTCTTCAGTTTGATGTTGTAACTATACTGGTATAGTTACCATCTTAAACCTGTAACTATCGTTCCAAAGATAAACTCTGCAATGAGTTCGAAACATCAGCATAAAACTGAAGACATAAATATATCTCTAAATATTCTAAAAAAATTTAAATTATCAATTTAAACGCTTATTTTATGATGTATTTAAGTATTTAACCTTAATGAGATCTTCCGTCGAACAATTGTTTTTTAAATCATTCGAACAATTTTTAAAAGTAAGCCAATCGACCATACTAAGAGATGCTGTGGTTGTCCAAGAACTACCCAAATTTGTAACAGTATTTAATAGCGTCATGTACGTTCCTCCAAATCGAGGATCGCTTATTTTCGAAAAAAAAGCCATAAATGCGACAAATATACAATAAATTAAAATCTATAAACAAAAGTTATGAAATAATACATTTAAAAAAATGTAATTGTAGAGAAATTTTCACCTCTTTAACAAACATCGTAATACCCAAAAACACATAATATATTAAAGGTGTTGTTTTAGTACCATTGTCAGTCATGATAAATTTCGGGGTTAAATAAACCAAAATAGCGGATAATAAACTACAAGAAAGCCTAAAAAAATGTTAATAACATTAGTTACTAGGTAATGACTGTTCTTAAATACTAAAGAACTATAAAGAATTGTTAAATATTAAAAAACAATTTTCCTTTTTCCAAAAATATAAACATATTTTTAATTTTCTATATTTTTTGAGGATTTTAAATATAATTTTGAGAGAAAGTAAGTTTTTAGTTTTTTAATATCACATACCACTTTAATAACTCAAAAATAATTGAGAGTTATCATTTTCGGAAACTATTGCGAGTTTTAATTTTTTTTTTTTTGAATAAAATGTTTTTAATTGCGAGCGTCTTGCTGTTGGGTTTATCAATATTTTTTACAAAAATTCAATACAAGTTCAGGTTATTAGAATTTATATTTATTAAGTTTTCTACAAATAAACTAAAACTGGTTTTTTGTAAACTTAGTACTTTTTCCATATTAACGCTACAATATATGTATATTATCCATTTATTATGTTTATCATTAATGTTATTTAGAATTATTATAATATTATGAAAATATGAGAATTTTTTTTAATAAAATATATATTTATTGAAAATAACTAAATATTTTATAGTTAAAACTTAAATAACAAATATTTAAATTTTTAGTTAATTACTATAATTACAGATATTTATTTTTTTTTAAATTCTATAAAATGTGTTAATGGCTTTTTTGATTAAATTAAGAACTCACCTATAAGGATAAACATTTAACAAAGTACTTATAGGTTTAGGGCCTGAAGTATATTTTGAAACTATAATAGGAACTAGTATTTTAGCGGGATATAGTGCTAAAGTAACAATCATTAAATCATCAGTGGATAATCCTCCATCTAACAATTTTAAAGTTGCAACGTTATTTGAAGCTGCAAAACCAACCTAAAATTTAAATAAAATTATTTAACATTGAACCTAGTAAATATGTTTTTTTTAAATATTTATTGTCATGCGTTTTAAAAATTAATACCCCACCCGAATCGTAAGTAGCGCAGGGATCAATGTTAAAATACTTGGTAGTTTTAGGATATTCCATAGGATTTTATATGTTTGACATACATTTAACTTTTTAGTATTTTGTTCAATAGTTGAGTTAGAAACTTCTTTTTTCAAAAATCCAATAAGTGTAGTTAACAAAATAAATATAACACCCCAAAAATATAAAAAGTCTAAAATAACAAAAATGAATAATAATTTAATAACAATAGATACAACATTAAATGAGTATGATACATACTTTTCTAAAAATATTTTTATTTTTAAAAGATAACATTGTATTAATTAATGAAGAATTATAATTTAAATGTATAATATTATACAAACAACGTAAAATATATGATTTTATTTACTTTTAAGAGAAACTATTCCTCCTTTTATTGGCGTAGTTCGTAAGTAATTATTGCAAAAGTTTTCAGAACTCAAAAGAATTGTTACAACAAATCCTAAAAAACTTCCTAAAGATTGTCCCGATGAATTGCACGTCGATGCATAACCTACATTTTCTCTAGAAATCATGAAATTATTTAATTTTAAAGTTAAAAACATTAAAATTTACTTTTTTAGCAACGTCAAAGCCCATCCATCTACAGCAACATCTTGCGTAGCCGCTAGAATGTTTACAATGAAAAATATGACTGTCAGTATATCAATTTGAGGTTTTTCTTTTTCGTACATCCAATTATTAATATTGAACGCCGTTAATAGAAGAATTGCCCCTGAAAAAGTTATTAATATTATATTAATTGTTAAATTCTATGAATGAATGTATTTAAGCCTCCCCCCATGTATAAAATTTGTTACTCTATTTCCATCTATGATTATGCCCTGACATAAGTATACACTATAAAAATATTAAGATACTGTTTATGCACGTGAGTAGAACGTGTTTTTATTATCATAATATAATACAATTATCTGCATGATTACAGAAAATAATGAATTTAAAGTGGCTTATTTTAACTTTAAAATGTATTTATAAAATCTATAATTAAAAATCTATAATTCATAATCAACTTTAAGAAGTATTAAAAAACTCCTTAAAAAATAGGTTTTACGCTATCAAAATGAATGAAATGAGAAGTGGATTCAAGATTTTTTCAAGGAGTGGCGTAAAAAATCAATTTAGTAACTGACAATAATTGAAGTAGGTGCGCGCCTTATGTGTTCTTTCCTGACACTAATTGAAATAAGTCTCCTAACATTTCTTCTGTATCCGTCCATCTTTCACGTATAGTTTAGACAATATTATACAAAAAAATTTGAAAACACAATTACAAATATAAGAAAAAGGTTAATTTAGTAGTACTTATTTTAACGTTTTTTATAAAAAAATCCTGATAGTGTCATCAATTGAATATATATTTTTAATAATAAAAATATTTAATTGAAACGAATAAAATTTACACCTAGTAATAATTGAACTGGTATCAACCATGATTTCCTTCTTCCAAATTTTTTTATGTATAAAGAATCAACTATTGGAGCCCATATAAGTTTCATACTGAAGGGCCAATTTGCAATACTAAATACAGCCTGAAATAAATAAAAAATCGCTCTTGAGATAGTTACTAAAAAGTGTCGTTGTATTTTTTGTCGAAAGGTGCAATTTCAAGCTGGTGTAAACTAACCAGTCGGGTTGTTTTGTTTCTTGTACTTTAAATGTCATAAAAATAAATAGCTATCTGTTTTTTTTATTAATTGAAAATAAAATTTTATTGATTTATAATCGTTAAGGTACCTGATCTTCATACGTTGTATTTCTGTGATTTTTCAAAATAATTGGCATCGCCGATAAAAAACCTACAGGTACGCCTTGAAGTGTATATAACAAAATTAATAAATATATATTCTTCCAATCACCCTTTAAGTTGGGTTTGTTTTGTAATGAAGTATCAGAATTTTCACAATCATCAGGCTGTGAATATTTCGCCATAATAATTTAACAAAGCGAAGAAATTTTTATTAGACACTAAACATGTTTCATCATACAAGTCTTTATTAACAATATCATAGTACAATAGTCGTCTAAGTTAATTGAGTTAATCTTATCTGAACATTATCACCAAATATTTTTTTATATATTTGTAAACATTTGAATTTATATATTACAACTATATATACTTTGATAAATTAAAGAGTCTAATGTGGAACTATTTGCGTTGCAAATACAAGCGAAAGTCAATACAAGTTCTTCATAAGTAAATTTATGATTACTTACTTTCAAAATTTTCATTATAATTTATAGTATTTTGATAGTCACATAATTGTTCTCATAATTAGTGTCACAGATAGTGGAAATTATTATGTCTCATTCTATTTTCATGTTTCAGAAAATGATAAATATTATAAAATTGTACAGTTTTTATTTTTAAGTATGCATAAAATATATATATTTATATATATATGTAATAATATTTATAAGCTATTAATTATGATGTTAGCCAGGTAAATATTTTGCAAGTCATTTAATTAATAATTTGTATTTTTTTTTTTATAAAATACTTTATAATATTTTTATAAATATAAATATAAGTATAACTCCATTATAAATAGTCAGTTTTCTTGATTATTTTTGTTGTAATTAGTGGTGCCAATGAAAAAAATTATTATTTTTAAAAATAACTAATATAAAATTGGAATGATCCATACATTTTTCGAAAAGTTATAGCATTGTAAAGTTAAATAAAAAAGGTAGCATAGTGGTGTCGCGGCAGTGTAGACTTGGCATAGTGAGACAAGTATAGATGATAACTGACATTGATTAAAATTAGTGATGGGAAATATCGAATAGTAACTATCGAACTATTCGATAGTTGTCCACTATTCGAACTATTCGATAGTCATTCAAAAACTATTCGAATAGTAAAAATATTCGATAGTTCACAATATATTCGAATAGTTTTTAAAACTATTCGATAGTTTATGCTAAAAACACACTATTCGGTTGTACAAAAACAATTCGAATAGTTATTCGATAGTTTAAAATATTTGAAAATGCCCATCACTAATTAAAATCATTATCGATTGGAAACACTTCGATGCACATCTGTAAATAGTGTTTAATTTAAAAAGTTGATGGATTATACCAAAAACAAAATGATATCCTATTTCCTTTATTATTCCTGATTAGTAGTTTTTTGATTCGGAAGTATAATAAATGTAGTATAATATATTTATTATAGCAATTAAATTAGTATGAAATTGATATTTAATAATTTAGTAATGTAATTTTTTCGGAGAATTTATAAAAAATTATAAAGTAGTTATTACTTTTATGGCAAACGTGTATAAAAATTGAAGGGCTTGATGCAACATTTTTTAGATAACAATTTGTTAATTATGAATAAATGGTCTGCAAAAAATTTTTAACAGAGTAAAAAATATACATTTACTATTCAATTATCAGCGCTAATTTCAAATCAACAATTATATTTTTTCTATCAACAATAGTTTTTGATATTATTACTAATTAGTTAAAAACTATAGGAAATACTACAAAGGAAATAGTTCTGAATATTTAATTGCATCATTTATTTAAACATCAAGAGTTAAATAGAAATTATTAATATTTCTTTTGAAATGATTTATTATTATTTAAAAAAACAATTAAAACATAAAAATATGATTTAAATTATTACAGATTTTCATTTTTAATATGTTAAAAACAATCAGTGTAAAATATCATTTTTAACCTATTTTTTTGGTATTTTAAAGTTGTGATGGTGTCACGTTACTATTATTTTGAAAATGAAACAACGGTTTATATTGAAATTGACTATATAGACTTTCATATTGTCAATGACATTTCTGGCCAGTACACATATTGTAATAACAATGTTATATTACATTAGTTATGCCAAAAGTAATTTATTTATTTATTTATTTATTTACTAAATTAACGCCCCAAAGGGCAAGAGTACAGTTAATAAAACTTAAACTAGACATCAATAAATTTATAGCATACAATTAATTATAAAAACAAACAATATAAGTAAAGATTCTTAACTATATAATCGATCTCTTTATTATATCTAAAGAATTAAAAAAGAAGTCCACTTTATGACTAACTTCATTACATTCTAATAACATACGATTGACCGGAGCAAAAAGATTATAGTTCTGTTGGACAGAAGAAACATAAAACATCGTTTGAGACCGTAAATGGACTGAAGGAACATTAAAAGGAATAATATCAAGAATTTCTGGACAGTCAATTTTATTATTTAATAAACTATGGATCCAACTAACGTCAAACATTTTCCGCCTCATACTCAGACTGGTTAGTCCAATATCTGAAGCTACTACATTTAAATCAACTTCATTAATATCGTATTTTCCTACTTTTACTACTAACATACGTAGAAAACGTTTTTGCAATTTTTCCAGTTTATTAGTAAGATTAGCTTGATATGGTGACCAAATAATTGACCCATATTCGACTATAGAACGCACTAAAGAACAATATAAAACTTTTAAACAAATAGGATTAGAAAACTCCCAGCAATTTCGCTTAAGAAAGCCCAACATCCGTAGTGCTTTATTATAAATAAATGAAATGTGTTCAGTAAAAGATAAATCCGAAGAAAGAATTACATCTAAATCTTTAATATGAGGAACATTTATGAGATTAATACTATTTATATTATATGCATATAGTTCATATGAACGCTTACGACAAAAAGTGATCTGAGCACATTTAGACACATTCAAGCATAAACCATTAACAACACACCAATTATAAAATCTGCACAAGTCTGCTTGGAGATTATGACTGTCGTGAATTGTACGAATGTTAGAATAAATTTTTACATCATCGGCAAAACACAAATAGTTTGAATGTTGAAAGACATTAGAAAGATCGTTCATGAAAATTAAGAAAAGTAATGGAGATAAATGCCCTCCTTGAGGAACCCCAGAGGGGATATGGATAATGGAAGAGATAATATTATTTATCTTTACTTGCTGCTGTCTGCCTGTGAGGTATGAAGCTAACCATTTAAGTAGTTTAATGCCAATATGTTTTAATTTATCAATTAATACCTTGTGATTTAATGTATCAAACGCTTTTTTCATATCAGTATAAATTGCATCTACTCGACCACCATTTGCAACAGTGGAAACAATATTAGTATAAAACACAAGCAGGTTAGTAATAGTTGATTTAGAACTACGAAAGCCATGCTGGCAGTTATTCAGCACGTTTTTAAAACTTAATGATAACTCGGGCTCTAGAAGTTTCTCAAATATTTTCGGCAACACACTTAATTTAGAAATAGGTCTATAATTACCCACATCAGATTTGTCACCTGATTTAAAAATAGGTGTAATATAACTTGATTTCCATCGTACTGGAAAAACACCCGAAGACAATGACAAAGAAAACAAAAAATGGATTGGACGAGTAAGCGGATCCCGACAAGAACTAAAAATGATACCAGGGACAAGGTCAGGACCGTAAGTAGTGCCCGTATTTCGTTGCAGTTCTTCAAACAATTTTAGAACCGGGATCTCACATGAGGCTATACTAAACGAGGAGGGTAAAATAATATTTGGATACGTTGATCGGACGGTTTGTTTCGAAACAGAATAATTAGAAGCAAAGAACTCACTAAACATTTCAGACACATTGATCATATTGTCTGACTTTATATTTCCAAAATACATAGAGTTTGGAAGTAAGTTATTATTTCTTTTATCTTTGACAAATTTCCAAAAGTATTTTGGGTTAACAATTAAATTATTTTGAATACGGTTAATANTGAATTATTTTGAACACGGTTAATATAATCTGAATAACATTTTTTTGATAGGTTTTTACATTTAGATCTAATAGCTGAGAACTCATTATATATTGATTGGTCTTTTTTAATTTTGAAAATCTTGTGAAGGGCATTTTTTTTACGTATTAATTGACAAAGTTCCTTTGAAAACCAACTTGGGAAAGGAAACTTCTTTGGATAAACTTTAGGAACGAATAACTCGATAGAATGTAAGAGTATCTCATAAAATTTATCAAGCGCACTNAGAATGTAAGAGTATCTCATAAAATGTATCAAGCGCACTATTAATGTCATCATAGTTATATAAAATCGACCAGTCAATAGAACTTAAATAATAAGACATTTGACAATAATTACCACGTTTAAAATTATAATACCAATTCAAGGGGCATGAATGCTGATAATTGTTACTACGTTGTAACTCAACTAACAAAGCCGGATGGTATGGGTCTAATGGCACCAATATATCTGTTGAGGTATTGACAGTGATCAAATTTGTATTAGAAAATATTAAATCCAGATATGAATTGTATATATTAGGAATTGTGTTGACCTGATACAAGTTTAAAGATGAAAAGCACTCATAAATAACATCTACTTTAACTGATCGAGCGCCATCGTAAATCATGCCATGGTCATCATTATAGAATTTTGTATCACCTAAATTGTAATCTCCCATTAAAATAAAAGTAAAATTGGTTTTAACAACACTAGATAAAATAGACTGCACAGTATCAGCATGAGCTGAGTAAACACTAACTGAGCTTCCAGGTGGTATATAGCATGCACCAATAATATATTTTAAATTACCACCACTATTTACAGTTACAAACAACTGTTCAACATTATCAGTGGGGATCTTTATGATTTCTGAAAATAAACATTTATTCACACAGATTGCTACTCCACCACCTCTCAAACATGAACTGGTTTTATCACTCCGGTCAACACGATAGACTATATAGTTATCAAAGCTAAGCTCTGAATCTAAAATTGAATCATTTAGCCACGTTTCCGTTAATACAAAAAAGTCGACTTTGCATAGTGGAATATTACATTTTAATTCTGCAAGTTTTGTCCGTAAACCACGTACATTTTGATAATAACCCAAAAGAGACCGATAATTATTTACNAAATTTTGATAATAACCCAAAATAGACCGATAATTATTTACAATTTTTTTATTACAATGTATACAATTTTTAGTTTTTATATGTGGATGAT